TCCACTTTTTCAGACACTAAGCCATGTACTAGATGCTCGGGGGCAATCCAGCCCCCGAGACTTTCAATACTTCCAATTTTCTTCGTCGTTCCAATGACAGCCTTCACTCCAAAAACAGCAAGTTTTGCCCTCCAATTCGGAGTCAAGAAGATATTTTTTCTATTTATCTTCATGTGTGTATAAGGTGGAATAGTGCAAAAGTGCAAGTAATGTAACCCTCTGGCAATGTCAAAGGCAATTTGAGTTCTTTTATGCCAACTAAGAGAAGCTAAGGAGTTTGACAAACAATCCCTTAATGTTCCATTTGATGAATATTCAAACACAAGATAAGATCCTGAAATGTCATCCTCGCCATAACAAACACCTCGAAGGTTAACAATATTGACATGATTGATTCTTGAGTGTACATCAATTACTTGTTTTGTGTCCTCAAATCTTATTTTCTTGATCAATACTTCAGCATTATCAACACAACCCTTGTATACATTGTCACTTATCTTAGTTCCTTCACTAAAATTATCCGTCGCTCTTTTCAATTCATCTATGTTGTACTCCCCCAAAGAGTACTTTATTCCTGCAAGTAAATCAGGTGATAAGCACGAATTCGTGGAACTTCTAGTAGTCGTTGGAGGGGAATTTCTTGGTGTTGAACCTGAAGTAACAAAGCTTTTATGTATCGAAGAACGATTTTTCTCTGCCTTGAATTTCCTTATGGTCCTTATATATAAACCACAAGCAACTAAAGTTGCAGCAAACAGGAAAAAACCAACAACCGACACTGAAATGCAAAGTTTCTTTAGTTTCAGGTTTTTGGATGATTTTTCTACCATTTGTGTTGGTAAAAAACCAGGAGTAGGAGAATCAGAATCATGTATGCTGAAATTAATAGAGGGTTCTCCTCTCAAGGGAACTAAAATTGTTGTATTTGAAAATACAGTGGGATTAAAACTTAAATGGTTAGCACCCCATATATCTTCAATAGAAATATTGAATTTTTCACTTACTTTTCCTGTATCATCTCCTGAAATAAAAGGGTATGTGATAAGGTACTTTAATCCAACATCAAAAAATTTACCAGGACATGCACATTTCAAAGGCATTAGCAACTCTGTACCAGCTTTGATATCATAATTGACATCAGAAATATTGGTTTTCTTGGAAATATTTTCCTCCAAAAGTGTAATGGATTTAACTAAACCTTCAAAAACTCCACAAGCAACGTCGTCGAATTTTGTGTTTGTAGGTGAACGGTAGCTAATATTAGCTTGAAAGGATTCACCTAAACAAGAACATTGAATTGGAACAATTACCTCTCTACCAATTTCAAGAATCTGCGACGACGAAGTGACATTGTTTAAGGTGAGTAGTACATCAGGAGAAAAACCAAACAAGTAAGAAACATCAGATATTGTTGTGAAATCTTGATTAGTTCTATAGATCAAGAATGTTTGACAAGAATCATTTAGAGAAGTACAAGTATATCTTGTACCTGGAGAACTGATATTAGAAAAACATGAGGTTGNAAAAAAAAAGATGGAATATTTTCTGACGTTTGTGATGGAGCCTGGATATGTTTCTAGCTGATAAGAGTGACATAGCTCTTTCCTTATACAATAATCCGAGTCAATAATTCGGTATAACCTATACAATATTCAGTTTTCAGTATAAAACTTTGCATTATAAAGATAATTTATGTATAACTAATACATCATTCAACTTTCAGTATTAAACTCCATATAGCTTATGTGAAGTTGAAATACCAGAAACAGAGGCGGAGCTAGGATTTAAACCTTATGGATTCGGGATAATAATCATATGTAACAGCCCAATCCACTAGTAATATTGTCCGCTTTGGAAATAGGCTCGCGCAGCTTTAAAACACGTCAGTAGAGTCTAAGACATGTCTATATATATACCCAGCATCTCTCCCGTATTTTATCGATATGGAATTCGCCTAGGGTGTCATATACACCCCCTCATGGATTTGCCCTACCACCGTTCAAGGTTGCATGCGGAGTGACTCAGATATCATATGTAACAACCTAACTTACTAGTGATATTGTCCGCTTCGGGCCTAGGCCCGCACGACTTTAAATCGCGCCACTAGAGTCTAAGGCATGTCTACTTATATAGCCGGCATCTCTCCCGTATTTTGTCGATGTGGGATTCTGATGGTAGGCTATAATTGCGTATTTTAGTCGCTTATCGCACTCTAATTTACTGCACCTTTATTGTGTTTAATCTTTAATCGCTAGTGTTTTTCACTTATTGTGTGTTTTATGCCTTGTAGGAGTGATTCTGAGTTATGGAGATGTTGTGGTACTAATTCGAGCTATGTGGAGCTTTGAAGTCTGAGTAAAAGCCCAAGGAATGAAGTCGGGATCGTGTTCGGTGGTCGAGGATCAATTCTTAACGTCAAAATTCAAGGAAGAAGCAACTGCTGAAGAAATGCACTAGTGTGGGGTACTGCGAGGCACTGTGCGACGCATTAATGCAAAGTTTTGTCAGAAATCTATAGAGTTAAGAGACTGTATTTTTTGTGGTGTGACAGGAAAAGGCATTAGTGAGACGCACTAGGCGACGCATGAAAAGCAATAAGTTTGCAAGTTTTCCTATTTCGTCTAGGAAAAGGAAATTTCGTCTTGGTCCGACCCTACTTGGTATAAATACATGGAAAAATATTATTTTCTGAACTTTGGAACTAATTCGAGCTATGTGGAACTTTGAAGTTTGAGTAAAAGCTCAAGGGTTGAAGCCTGGATCGTTTTCGGGGGTCGAGAATTAATTCTGGACGTCAAAATTCAAGGAAGAAGCAACTGCTGAAGAAATGCACTAGTGCGAGGCGCTGTGCGATGCATTATGCAAAGTTTTGTCAGAAATCTCTAAAGTTCAGAGGTTGGGTTTTTTGTGGTCTGACATGAAAAAGCATTAGTGCGACGCACTGGGCAACGCATGAAAAGCAATAAGTTTCCAAGTTTTCCTATTTCAGCTAGGAAAAGGAGATTTTGTCTTGGTCCGACCCTACTTGGTATAAATACATGGAAAACGTTATTTTCTGAACTTTGGACACACGTTAGACCTAGAGACACACGAGGAACATCCCGGAGCAAGGATATCTCAGATTTCTTCATCGTTTCTTAGTATTTTTAATTATCCAACACTTATGAATTTGTTTGATACTATCAAGAGTGGCTAAAACCCATAGTTCTAGGGTTGTGATTTAGCCATGGATATTGATATTTAATGTCGACTTAACCTTGATTATAATTCACCAATATATGGTTGTTTCTTCAATTTTGTGATTAATTGCTTAATTTTCTGTCCAACAGTTAGGTTCTATTTCCTATCTATGCTATGCTTGGGAAAGCCATGTTTAGATTAGAGAAGAATTAAAGAGAGCACTATCTTAACTCTGGGAGGGAGGCAGATTTGTGGTTAGGATAGGAATATACCTAGTCACCATACTTAATTAAATATCTTAATCTTAATGCGTTCTTAATAGATTGATTTCATAGGAATATAGGCGTTAATCTATTTTGAATAAGCGAGTAGCACTTCGAAAGAAGGCTATGAGAGCAATTGTTCGATTAATTAGCAACCACGAGTGAATTGTATGAAGGGGAGAGTTAACTAGAACATAATAGGATTGGTGAATCGATCACAACCCTGGAATATTTGTCTCTACTGAATACACAACAACTGTTTTGTTGCTTGATAATTTAGTTACTACTTAGAATTATAGTTTAGTATAATTAAACTCTTGAACTCAAGTTGGCTCGTCTGAATAACAATCTTGGTGAATTTAGTGGATACTTGATACAAGTCTCTGTGGGTTCGACACTCGACTTATCATTTTATTACTTGCACAACTGCGTACACTTGCATGTGCATTTGGGAGCAACAAGTTTTTGGCACCATTGACGGGGACTTGAATATTGACTACTCTCTAGTTTTTGCTTTCATTGTTTATTTCGTCAAGTCTAACATTACTTGATTGTTACTCTGATCTCAGGAACTTTGATTGAATGCGCAGGGTCAGAAGCCAGGACAGACTTTAAGGATTTGATCCCGAACCTGAGAGAACATTTCATAGGAGGTTGAGGGAAGTAAATGATACAAATAATCTTCATGCACTTGTTCAATTTCCTGTGAACATGGAAGAGGAGCAACGTATGGTTGTTCAGGAGATGGCTATGCCCAGCATTGCTAATGTTACCTCTAGCATTGTGAATCCCAGAATCACTGAGCACTTTAAGCTAAAATAAAGCATGATCCAGCTACCTCATGCGAATAGGCAGTTAATGGGTCTTCCACACGAGGATCCACAACAGATATCTTGAATTTCTTGGAGATTAGTGATACTTACATCACTAACGGAGTCATTCCAGACTATGTGAGGCTCACACTTTTCCCGTTCTCTCTGTTGGACGAAGCAAAGTGATGGCCGAAGGCAGAACCAGCTAATTCTATTACATCATGGAATGACCTGGCAAGGTTCTTTCCTTCAGGCAAAAGTGCAAAGATCATAAGTGAGATAGTCGCATTCAAATAGAAATCGGGGGAGTCTTTATACTCAGCTAGGGAGAGGTTTAAGGGGTTGCTAAGAGACTGTCCTCATCACAATCAGACAAATGAAGTGTTAGCTCACACATTCATAGAAGGGCTATATCCTGAGACAAAGATTGTGGTAGATGCTACAGCTGGAGGTCAAGTGTTGGAGAAAAGCTTTGATGAGATATATGCGTTATTGAACAAATTCTCCAAAAGCAATCCTGATTGGCAAGGAGAGATGGGCAGACACAAATTGCAAAAATCTGTAGGGTTCTCGAGTTAGATGTCGTCTCGGCATTATCAGTGCAGATTTCCACATTGACCAACCAAGTCAATCAAATGACCTTGGTTATTAACAAGCAACAAACTCAACCAGTGCAATAGGTTCAATTGTTTTGAGAAGTATGTGGCGAGGGTCATACGAGCGACTTATACCCAGTTAATCCAGAGTCTATTTATTTTGTGGGTAATGCAATTAGGGTCCAGACAAACCAGTATGGGAACACCTACAATCCTAACTGGAGGAACCACCAAAACTTCTCTTGGGGTGAAAACCAAGGTGCTAAGAATTAATATTGACCACAAGCACCTCAACAACAATATAGACCACCTCAAGTTGAGCGAAATGCAAACTCAACAAGTCACATTGAGGAACTGATGAAGAAGTTGATGGCTAAGCAGCAAGCCCACACAGCATGATGAAGAAAGTGATGGCTGACCAGCAGGCCCAAGCCGCAACAATGAGAAATTTGGAGCGACAAATGGGACAACTTGCTAGTTCCCAAAATACTCGACCAATTGGAGCTCTTTCCAACGATACTAAGGCTAATCCTAAGGCATCTATTAATGTTGTGTCATTAAGGAATGGGAGACAGTTAGAAGAAGTCCAGTTGAAAAAGATAAAACAAGTAACCTTTAATTAGAATCCGGCCACTATATTGTCAGAATCAGAAAAATCAAAAGAGTCATAGAAGCCAGCCGAAGAGGCGGTGGCTAAGCAAACCCCACCATTGGTTGAGAGGCCATCACCTCGGTTCCCTCAAAGATTGCAGAAATTGAAGGATAGTGTCGCGTATAAAAAGTTTCTCAATATTTTGAAGCAGGTGCAAATTAATATTCCACTGGTAGACATCCTGCAAGAAGTATCCAAATATGCAAAATACATCAAGGACGTAGTGGCCAATAAAAGGATGTTGGCCGAGTTCGAGACTGTGGCACTCACTGAGGAATGTGGCTCAAGAATTCAAAGCAAGCTACCTTAGAAATTGAAGGATCCAGGTAGTTTCATTATCCAAATCTCAATTGGTAAACATGCAGTTAGGCGAACGTTTTGTGATCTTGGAGTGAGCATCAATTTGATGTTGCTATCTGTGTTCAGATAGTTGGGGTTGGGTGAGCCGCGCCCAACAACAGTAATCTTACAGTTGGTTGATCGCTCCCTTGCTCATCCTGAAGGAGTGATTGAAGATGTGTTAGTTCAAGTGGGTTCGTTCATATTCCCTACTGATTTCATTATCTTGAACCAGTTCGGACGAACCTAGTAACTTTTTGCTTAGACGATATATTTGTACTAGAAAATTCATTAAATATGTATTAATACTTAATTGCGAACCCAGTAACTAACGAGCTATTGGTTCGATTGCAAATTCAAAACGCATAAACTTTAAATCATGTTTCCGCCTCTATCTCTTGTTACAGATCGAGGATGATTTAAAGGCTCTAGCCCATACAAAAGGTGTGGAAAGAAATATTGGAGTTATTGATCCAAAACAAGTGAAGTTAGGTAGCAGAAAATATTACAGATATATTGGCTCCTTGACTGTTCCTCCTTGCACTCAAGATGTTGTCTGGACTATTGTAAGAAAGGTAATTTAAAAACTCTAGCGTTCTATCTATGCTGTGATTATTCTTTTTGCCACTATCAATTTGAAGTTTAATATTCAATTTCGTTTGCTTTATATTTTCTTAGGTGAGGACTGTTACAAGAGAGCAAATGAAACTAATCCGCGAGGCTGTTCATGACGTAAGTTGCTACACTTCACCTTCGGTCCATATTTTTTAGTAACATTTTAAGATTTTGGCAAACCCTTTAAGAAATATATGATTATCCTTAATCATAAAAATATTCGATTAAATTAAATAACTTTTTAGTTTTTGTTTTATACGTCACACTTAATTAATACTCCATTAATTGGAGTAGTAAATGTAAAATTGAAGTGGAAAAAAAAGGTAAACTCTTACTAATTGTCTAAAACGTCAAATATTTCAAAATTTGTCAAAATGACTCATATTTGGTGCCTTGGGTGCTAATTCTTTATTTGATCATAATTTTTTTTTTTTTGCAGGAATCTGAAACAAATTCAAGACCAGTCCAAACAGCAAACAAACAACCGATCCGACTCTATTGACCAAATAATCCTAAAGAATAATAAAAATGATTCTACGTACAATCTTAGACGTAACTTACCATATTTATAGTTACTGTCACAATGATTTTGTTTATATACAATAAAATTGAGTTCAGTATATGAGCTAGAAATGGCCTTATCCCGTTAATGGCCGTTATCATCCATGTATTTTCATAACATGGTCGGAATTCTTTCCACAATATAGTGTATTTCTTGGTTCTATTTATTATTTATTGAATTGTAGCAAAATAAATTAGTTGCACTTGTTCTTTGTACCAGTAGGCCTCTCATTTTCAGTCTTCGACATATTTGTCTTTATTTTTTATTCTACTAACCCCACAAAAGCAACAGATGTAGGAAAGATTCATTAATTAGAGTAAGGCAACGAGTAATTAACTATTGGACAAGATTATGTCAAACAATTGGCAAAGCACAATATAGATTCTACTAGTCATGCATATGTTCAACAGATAGTCCATTTGTTCCTTCCAAAACTGGATTAGAAAATTTCTTTATCGTTGTTGAAGCTAGCATACATAGAGCATAATTTGTACTATTACAAAAATCAGATGTCTCCGTCACAAATTAAAATAAATAAACTAATACGCTCTAATGTTTTAACTTATCTACACTGAGAACGTACGAAATTTTTACGGCTATATGCTGATAGAGAAGGGGAGCATTCGCGGTAAAGTTGTTGTCATGTGACCAGGAGGTCACTGGTCGAGCCGTGGAAACAGCCTCTTGCAAAAATGCAAGGTAAGGCTGCGTACAATAGATCTTTCTGGTCCGACCCTTCCCCGGACCCGCGCATATATAACGGGAATTTAGTGCACCGGACTACTATTTTTTATATGATGCTAGCAGAATATTTAATCTATTTTCTTGGCTACGATATTAGGATTATTTAATTTAAACATTTAAACCTTAACCTGAAGGTGAAAAAGTTTGACAAGAATAATTTAACAACAACATATATACCCATTATAATCTCACAAATGATACGTGTAAAGGAATTACATAGATGCACTACAGTGCACTATTGTTGAGTTGGACACTAGCTAGGGACAGTTGTACATTGTAGCTAGTTAGTTGATTAATTAAGTCGGTTAGTTAGTTGTATATATTGCTAGATACAATAGCTATTTAGGCAGAGCTTCATTTTCTGTAATTGCATGTTGATCATATTATTCTAGAAGCTGTCGATTTCTCCTTGCTCTATCTTCATTCTTCTTCTGCTCCTAATCTCTTAAATCTTGGATGATAATCGGCCAACTTAACATGGTATCAGAACTAACTAGCTACTAGATTGAGGGATTTTTCACAAAATTGACAGTGAAAAACGAGGAATTCAGAGATAGTGTAGCAAGCAAACCCTATTTTTCAAATTCAATAGCGATTAAAAAGATAGTTACTGAAAATATGAGTGATACTTTAAGCGGAGTCACTGGCGGTAGCTCGATGGTGATTGACCACAATCACCCTTTATTCCTTGGTGCCGGCGACACTCCTGGCGTCGTTCAAATTGGAATTCAGCTGGTCGGAATGGAGAACTACTCGTTGTGGAGTTGATCCATGAAAGTAGCTTTGCTAGTGAAGAACATGCTATATTTCATAGATGGCTCAGTGTGACGTGAAGATTATAGAGGAGATCTGGTGAAACAGTGGAATCGCTGTAATGCAATGGTGATTTCTGGCTTACGAGCAATGTAAGTGCAAATTTACTCAGTGGAATTCTCTATAGTTCAAATGCATTTCATGTATGGAATGATCTTCAGGAAAGATTTGACAAAGTTAACTTGACAAGAATCTATCATTTGCTTCGAGCAATTTGTACACTAAAACAAGGTGTTTCACCTATTTCTGTCTACTACTCAAAAATAAAAGACCTTTGGGATGAAATGGATTCAATTATTGCTTTTACTTCTTATAATTGTGATGAATCTAAGGAGTATGTGGTTCATCTCTGAAACCAGGGGTTACTACAGTTCCTATTGGGACTTAATGATTCATATAGCCAAGTAAGGAGTCAAACATGATGATACCAACTCCTAGTGTAAATCAAGCATATGCTATGTTGGTGCACGATGAGAGTCAGAAAGTAACTTCTGGAATGCTAAATTTAGGGGGAAATGGTACTGAACCAACAGCCTTATTCACAACAAAATGAGGCACATGAATGGGATAGGGGAATAGAAAAAATTACAATATGTACTTTGACTATTGTAACATGAAAGGGCACAACAGTGACAATTGCTTCAAGCTGATGAAATGTGAGGTTTGTGAGATCAAAGGTCAGACAAAAGAGAACTGCTATAAGGTGATAGGATATCGAGTTGATTTCAAAGGAAAAAAGGTCAACTTGGTGAATGTAGGGGGAGATTATGGTTAGCAGTCAGTTGGTCACATGAATACACTAGTAGTACCATTCTTCACTAAGGAACAATACAGTCAAATCTTAACCATGTTAAAGAAGGCAAACATATCTGATACAAGTGTAAGCTTAGCAGGTAAACCTTTATTTTTGACATTAACTAACTTGAAATGGATTGTGGATTTTGGGGAAAC